AACGATTCATTCAAAATGTTTAGGCCGGCGGTCCTTGTAGAGGAAATTTTAGAAAGAAAACTTAATAGAAGAATATAATAAATTATTTCTGGGACATTCTGTGGAATTTTTGTAGAGGAGCAACACAGCCCTAAGCACAAGGAATCACATTTTGCAGCCGAAGATGTTAACTAGATCAGTGTATCACGACCTTGATACGCGGATTGACTCATTTACTGAGTTTAAAGTTTAAAGTCAAATCGTCCTACCTTAGGAAAGACGAATGCAACTCTCGAACTAAAAATTTCGATTCCGTAATTTTCACGATGCGCTCTCTATGTGTGATTTGTTAATCATCGCACGAAAACCCTGTTATTATCGATGAAGTAATCGTCTAGTGTTTAACGTTATTTCTCTTCGAGCAAGCAAAACTTCGCCGAGGTAGTTAGAAAAATCTATCGCATTGGGATGTTGATAGGTTCAGCGGAATATGTATTTTGTACATTGGGATGCGCGTTCCAAAAAGTTTTCCTGAATCATGCAACGACTTTGCTGCATTCGTCGTTCTGATACTGAAGTCAGTAAGTGTAGGGATGGAGCCCACATTTCAGGAGGAAAAAACTACGGCATTAAAAAATTGTGTCCTAGAATGTCAAAAATATTTTTCCGAAAAGAAGCAAAACCCAAATGTTATAAAAAGCCTTGCAAATTATGCCCGGTATGCCTCGGGCCCTCGGGCTCCATAGATGTCCGTGTTGCATGTTGCATCCGCACGGGAGTGAAGGCGTTTTCGCTATTTTCGCTCTCCAGGCAGTAACCAACCGCTTCAACCGCAGCACGGCACACAGTGCAACTATCCCTTCTACACGCAGGGCCGGATCAAGGGGATGGTCACATGGGCCGCTGCCCATGGCGGCAAATTTTGCAATTTTTTTAAATATAGGTGTAAAAAAAAATCGGATTCAGAAAAAAATTACAAACGAGAAAAGGTGACAAAATCTCTTATTTCCTGAGAGTTTAGTAATTTCTAATTTTTTCCTATTTCGGTGATACAAGAGACAGCACCTTTAATTAGTCGAGTTAAGAGAGAAACCAAACACGCAATTTGGTCTGGAACGGCGCAGCGCAGAGAGCAATGATGACGGCCGGGACTTGAGATGAAAAGGAGAAACCCGCGGCGCGGCGGTCGGCTTGCAACACAGCGCCTACAAGACTGCATGAATACTTCACGCATTGCGTCAAACACAGTGCGGTCAGCAGCGGTCGGCGTGAAACGCAAAGCGCCTACAAGACTGTAGGAATACTTTACGAATTGCGCCAAACCTATTGCGGTCAGCGCGGCGCGGCGGCGGAAGTTAAAGTTATTAAATCACGTTTATGTTAAGAACAAATTCTTTCATACTTGTTCCGTTCATTTCTTTAAATGGAAGGCCTCGTCCACACAGAGATAGGTATTCGGCACCTAACTTTTGCGCAAAGTTCTGTGAACTTTTGCTAGTAGTGTTGACAGGGTTTTCGCAAAAAATGTATCCAACATGAGTAGGTAAACGCGTCGTATGCACCCCTCCCCCTCCGGCACGATCACTTGATGGTTTTTATTGATGTTTCAAAACGAATGAGAAGGGGGCGGAAAAATACAGGCGGCCCATAGGCGGCAAGTAGGTAAATTCGGCCCTGTCTACACCTACGATCGTTTCAAATTTATGCGTTTCGTTCACATTTCGATTCGAAAAACACTACTGAAAATTAACGATGAATACATTTTAATAACACCTTGAGAGAGCAGGCGCTATCGGGCCAATGCAAGCTTGCACTGATAGAGTGAAGATGATTGAAAACTAGGGCGACCCAGTTTCAATCGGGCTACTCGAACGGTTAAAGTATGTATTGTTATCAAACATCGAAGTCAAAGGACCCATGAAGATTAGCGGAACAGGATTTTTATTTGAAAATTGCCCGACAATTTATTTTAAAAATGTCCTAAATTGAAACTAGTTTGCTTTATGTGATTGTTTTTGAAAAAGCGGATGTTCAGGTGCACCGAGGTTTTTCCAGGACAGTTTTTAGACAGGAAATTCCAGGACACAAAATTTTAAATTTTAAGCAGTTTTAGCATACAATTTGAGCATTATTTGAAAGTTCAAAAATTGACGAATAATACCTCCTCTAGAGTGATTCTATTTTAGTGGATTTTATTATTTATTTCTACGGCACTGAGTAACCGTCGGTTTAGTAAACTTTGGTTGTATACTTAGTTCTATCTTGAAACATTTCAGTAAATTATTAGGAGCACTTTTTTTCTCCCCCTTCCTTTCCCCCTTTTCTCCTTCCTTTCCCCTTCTTTCCCCCCCTTCTTTTGCCCGAGGGGGGACACGCCACCATGCCCCCTAGATCCGCCAGTCCGCCACCAACTGGGGGTATTGCATATCCCCCAGACACCCCCGCGGATAAGGGGACCAGGCCCTTCGCAGCTGAATAACTTATTGTTAGCTACGCGCCTTTGCTCGGTCCGTGAACAGCCACATTGACCGATACATTGTGAGAATCGTTCAATCGAAACAATCGATATCGATGCTAAAGTTGGTCAATTTTTTAGTGAGGGAAATTAGCCGATTATGAGCGGCCGAAACATGGTCCGATTGACCTGGACGTTTATCACCGTGACACCATCCGATTCGCTGACGAGACGTGTCAGTGCGCTCATACCCATGCACATAACCGCCGTGCTTAGTATAACCACCGTATGAGCATTCGAATGTTGCCAAATTTACTCTCAGTAAATATTTATTCTTGAAGGAAGTTATAAATATTATTCCTTGAAATTTCCAGACTTTCTAGATCCAATTATGAACAACATCCTTTAGAAAATTGGAAGAAAAATATTCACAAATTTTCCTGAAAATTCGTGGTTTGTCGAAGGAAATTTGGCAACGTCGGATGGCGTATACGTCGTTTTTCCTTTGAGTGGCTCATGAGCCTCGGTCAAGCGTTTCAGATCTCAGATCCGAGTGTGTTCAACTCTGAAACAAAAGGCACAACGATCCATCGCATCCGTTAATAATAGCCCGTTAGGTTAGGTTAGGTCCTCTTCGCCGCGGTAGCCAGCGCAGCATTGGAATGGAACCGCTGTTCAGAGCGGATTCCAATTTTGGATTTACAGCGGATCCGATCGAATATGCCCGCAATACCCGGCCGGTGACGTAACGAGCAGCTTTTTTAGTGACAAGGTCACGGGTGTGTCCTCCTCCTCCCCCCCCCCTACC